TTCCTGGATTCCCGCTGTGATGAGACCTACTTTCGTGTTAGGTGGGTAAAATGCCACCAATCCGTAAGATTGCCCGCTCCCGTCTGAACTGGGGAGTGGGTGAGCTAATATAGCCGTTATTAGTCATAATCCCGTAAAATGCGGAGTACGGGGGTGAGCTCCTCGGGGTTGTCATGCGGTGGTCGGTCTAACTAGGAGGCGAGCTGCCTGTGCAATGCCGAGTTGTCTAAGTTGCCAGGCTACACGATGGCGAGCTGCCTGTGAAGTGTTGCATGGTGGCGAGCTGCCTGTGAAGTGCTGCATGGTGATGAGCTGCCTGTGAAGTGCTGCATGGTGGCGAGTTGCCCAGTGGCGAGCTGCTTGTGAGTGCTGCATAGTGGCGAGTTGCCTAGTGGTGAGCTGCTTGGTGGCGAGCTACTTGTGAGTGCTGCACCTATTTGTCATGAGGTGCCAGGTGTCACAATGTCACTAGAGGGCCAAATCCGCCCTCATCATTTGCCCCCCACTCCCGGGCTGAAAGTAACTCGGCGAAGGGAGTAGATTTCTCCTTTTGGCCCGTAATTCGTCGAGCTCGTAAGCATTGATTCAGTTTCTTAGGCTCTGGGAGCTGTTTGGAAGCGAGCTGCCTGTAAGGCGCTGAGGTCGCTGCCAGTTCGGTACTTTAGTCCTTAGATTCTGGGAGCGACTTGTAGTCCACTCTCCTTGACTTTGCCCATGCCGACGAGGCGGCTGGGTCTTGTGCAGTATGGTGGCCCTTAGGCTTTGGGATTGACTTGTAGTCCACTCCTGGACTTTGCCCACGCCGAAGAGGCGACTGAGTCTTATGCAGTATCGAGCTGCTTGTGAGGTGCTGGGCAGACCAGGTGCCGAGCTATTTGTGAGGTGTTGGGCTGATCAAGTGTCGAGCTGCCTATGAGTAGACCTGTTCATGGGTTGGGCCGGGCCGGGCTTGGGCCGGGCTTTTATTGTGTATTAACAAATTTTTTTAAGGCCCGAGCCCGAGCCCGGCCCGACCACGAAATTTAGCCTATACTATTATTATTATTATTATTAATGTTGAAGCAGCTGAATAGAGAGAGAGAGAGAGAGAGATATTGAAATTATAAAGAAAAGAATAAAATATATATATATATATATTAAATTATAAATATATATTTTAATAAATATTATATTATTTATATATTTTATATAATATATAAAATACATATTATATATTTTATAAAATATATAATACTGAGTCGGGCCGAGCTTTTTTGACAAATCCTGAGCCCGACCCGAAACACAGTCGGGCTTACTGTGTTAAGCCCGAGGTCAGGCCTGGGGGCCTAATTATATGACCAAGCCCGGTCGGGGTGCGGGCCGGGCCGTCAGGCTACCCGGCCCATGAACAGGTCTACCTGTTGGGAGTGCTAGGCTGATCAGGTGCCGAGCTGCTTGTGAGGTGCTGGGCTGATTAGGTGCTGAGCTGCCTGTGAGGTGATGGGCTGATCAGGTGCCAAGCTGCCTGTGAGGTGCTGGGCTGATCAGGTGTCGAGCTGCCTGTGAGTTCAGTATTTTAGCCCTTAGGGTCTGAAAGTGACTCATAGTCCACTCTCCTTGACTTTGCCCATGCCGAAGAGGTGACTGGGTCTTATGCAACAGTGTAGCCCTTAGGGTTTGGGGAGTGACTCATAGTCCACTCTCCTTGCCTTTACCCATGCCGAAGAGGCGACTGGGTCTTATGCAGCAATGTAGCCCTTAGGCTTTGGGGAGCGACTCATAGTCCACTCCTGAACTTTGCCCATGCCGAAGACGCAACTGGGTCTTAGGCATATGTGTAGCCCTTAGGCTTTGGGGAGCGACTCATAGTCCACTCCTGAACTTTGCCCATGCCGAAGAAGCGACTGGGTCTTAGGTGGTGAGGAAGTCTTTTATCAGTTCGTCAGTTCGCGCCTAGGCCAAGCCGCCGGATCGGTGCCCGTGCCAGGTCACGCCAAGTCGGCACAAGTGCCAGGCTGCTAAGCTGTCGGCCGGGCACCTTAAAGCTATGATTGCGCTGCATCCGCCTCGTAATGCGAGAGCTTCAGTTTCTTTGAGTTCATAAAAAATGGAAACTATAAAGCGAGAGCTTCAGTTTCTAAAAAGTGAGGACTTTGCTTTCTAGGAGAACTTAGCTTTCTGTAGCGTGTTCCCACAGACGGCGCCAATTGATGTAACCGTTTCCGATCACGTATCATTTTTGTTTGGCTAAGTACCTCGTCATCCTGTCTGCTCCCAGGTGGCCGATGACTTAGGGGCTCAAGTGGAGCTCCCTTGTGTAGCACAATCCGGCTGCTCCCTACAGAAGATGATTTGCTCATCCTTGTAGACGGTGGACCTGCGGACCTGGTAGATCTGCAAGATCCGAATCAGAGAACCCGGGGGTGTTTACCCGGCGAGGTCACTCCGATGGCTAAGTCAGCACTTAGTAGTGAGCTAAGAATGATATTAGAGAATGAGAGAGCTAGAGAGTAGGGGTTACCACCACTCTTCTCGCCTCTGGGGGGTGAGGCCTTTATATACTGGAGTCCTCGTGGATTTGGTGGAACAGTTCCTGGATTCCCGCTGTGATGGGACCTACTTTCGTGTTAGGTGGGTAAAATGCCACCAATCCATAAGATTGCCCGCTCCCGTCTGAACCGGGGAGTGGGTGAGCTAATATAGCCGTTATGAGTCATAATCCCGTAAAATGCGGAGTACGGGGGTGAGTTCCTCGGGGTTGTCATGCGGTGGTCGATCTGACTAGGAGGCGAGCTGCTCGTAAGTGGGGAGCTGCCTGGTGGCGAGTTGCCTGTGCAGTGCCGAGTTGTCTAAGTTGCTAGGCTACACGATGGCGAGCTGCCTGTGAAGTGTTGCATGGTGGCGAGCTGCCTATGAAGTATTGCATGGTGGCGAGCTGCTTGTGAGTGCTGCATAGTGGCGAGCTGCTTGTGAGTGTTGCACCTAGTTGTGATGAGGTGCTAGGTATCACAATATCACTAGAGGGCCAAATCTGCCCTCATCAGAGTTCATTACAGATGGACCAGGTTTAATCCAATCCGATAAGTTTTCTAGACTAGATTGTGTCTAATTCAATTATTTATTGGACTGTCCAACCTGTTCAAATTGGTTTTAATTCAGATTGGATCCAATCCAAACCCAATCCATTGACACCCCTACTCTTGATATTGATTCAATCAGATTCGGGCCAATATAAATGTATTAAAGATGGAACAGACATTAGGTCTAAACTGGTTCAAATCAATGTGTAATTGGATTGCCCAATTTTGGACCCGTTCATATTGATATTTGATTCAGATGGCATCCAACCCCCAAACTTGATCCATCGACACCCCAATGTGCGTTGTTTTCTTCCTTAGGCCAAGTGGGTTTGATATGACTAGGGGTGTCAATTGGACTGGATTTGGTCCAATCTGATCCAGTCCAATGTGAGTCCATTACAAATGGACCTGGTCCAATCCAGTCCAATGAAATATTTTGGACCGGTCCAGAGACTGTCTAATCTGTTCAAATTCCTGTTAATTTAGATTGGATTCAACTCAAACCTGGTCCATTGACACCTATGTTTTTATCTTCTATCAATGGACCAGATATTGGCTCAATCCAATATAAATTCATTATGGACGGACCAGGTCCAATCCAATATGTCATATTGGTCCATCTAATCCATCGAAATTCAATAGGTCTTATTGGTCCATCCAATCCGTTCAAATAGATTTTGATTTGGATGGAATCTAACCCAAAACCGGTCCATTGACACCCCTAACCACGATACGTGTCAAGCCACCTATATGTATATATAATATCTCAACGAAAACAGATGGCTTCGAAGGGGCAGGAGATATGTGAAGTCAGTTGACTCAGTTCAGGTCAGTGCTTCTAATCTGCCATGTGACCGGCGCCTTTGTGAATGTTCAACTATTGGTGACTCAGCCAAGGATGATTCTCTCATCATTTTCCTCTGGTTAGCTTGTTGAGTTGTTGGTTGCACTTGCAGCTTCAATCACTCCAAAGTTGCTTGTGCAGTTGTGCCAAATGTTCCTGGATGGGGAGTTTGGTTCGATCGAAAAGGTTCAATTGTCTTGACTATGATATTTGGTATGTATATATATATATATATTTATAATAAAAATTATTTATTTATTATATTAGGTTCATTAGGCTCACGAATTTTACGAGCCCAGCTTAATTCATGGCCACCCCTAAATCAGGTTTAGGCAATGTGTGGTAAGTTGGACCCTCACACAAGTAGAAAACATTCAAACCTGGGACCCGATAGCATTGTTTATGGGTTGGGTCTAGGTAGAATTATTCTGATTACTAATTGGGACAAAATCACAGACCCAGGATTGTTCTGATTACTAATTAGACCAATTATATTGAAAACTGTATTTGTTTATTTAAAGGATAATTTAAATTTTAAATTTTGAATTTTTGATAATATAGCATTTATAAAATAATAGAAAAATATTAAATTATTTATATGTTAATAAATTAAACATTTTTAACTAATACTATCTTATTTATAATCTATCAAAAATTGGAACTGATACCCTTGAAGCAGGTAAGGGAAACAATAGAAACAGAGGCAATTACATGTAGGCAGGTGAGGATAATCAAGCATAAAATATGATAAAGAAATTAAAATAGTATTATATGTATTTAATAAAATAATTGATTCGGGATCTGAATTGGTCGAAACAGGCAAAAATTGGAACTGACTGATGCAATTAGTAATCAGGGGAAAACCATATTTTGATTGGGACAGGGAAAAAAAAAACGAAACCGACCCAATTGTAAATCGAAGGTTCGGTCGATTCGGATCCGTCGGATATACTCGATCTATTGACATCATACTCGGAGTAGTTAGAGGATCTTTTCGTCATTTTATTTTATATGCTTAGGAACATTTTAGGAAATTCAGAAAAATAAAATGTGATAACGCACGGTATCCGGTCAACTATAAAAGGCTAGGGTTTATAAGGTCATCTTCCTTCTGGTTTCTCCCTCTGCCAAAACCCTAACTGGGTTCCTCGCCTTTAGTCGAAGAAAAAGATAGGCGAATCTCCAGCAGCCTAAGTCAGGATGGGGTAAGTGGTCTTAGATTTCGTTAATGCTCTTGTTTTTCCTTTGTTTACATATGCTCTTAAATTTCGTTTCTGACTGATTCAATAAAATATTTATGTTCCGATCTGCCAACTTGATAGGTTTTACTTTTATGTGCTATTTTATTTGTTTTTTTGGGGCGAAAAGATTTTCTTTTTCCCGACTTTGAATCGCCAAGATATACTAGTGTTCTGCTTCAAAAGAGTGTCTTAGCACTTAGAACTAGTTTAGTTTTCGAAAGGCGATCGGGCTTTCAGATTAAATGGTCCATGTTTGCTCAAAGAACGTTAATTGGGAATACTCCCGTTTCCATCGAACACCAGAAACGTTCCAACAGAACCTTTACCTGCTCTGCCTCAATTTTTTGCGCGAGTGTATGTGGCCAAGCATCATGCTTTTCTGTTATGCCTCTGCTTAAAAATTTTCACTTTCGATAATGAACACAGCATCATAGTAAACAATGAAGAAGCCTCAAAATTTAAAGTTGTCGTTATTTTTTTTTTTTGTTTCGGAACTTGAAAATATTTAGGCAACTAGCTTTGGATGTCAATCGCATTAAATGTTTTAGTGGCTCTATTTGTTTTGTTTGGACACACCAAGCTATTCTCTGCTGTGTTGTGGTTATCTTGCATTGTAGACATATATTTATCGAGTTTGAGGACTGAGCAGCATGTGCTAAATGTCACCACAAAAATTGAATTCTCAAGGCATGTGATTCTTTCTTGGCAACAGGAAAACCCGTGGTATGGGAGCTGGGCGCAAGCTCAAAACACACAGGAGGAGGCAAAAGTGGGCAGATAAAGCCTACAAGAAAAGCCATCTTGGTAATGAGTGGAAGAAGCCTTTTGCTGGATCTTCTCATGCCAAGGGAATTGTCCTCGAGAAAATGTAGGGTCAAATTCTTTTCCTCTAGTCATTATATTGCTTCATTTTTTTCTTTTCTTACGATTACTATCATCTGTTTTTTCCTCTTGAATCCCTTCTCCTAGATAACAACTACTATTACATATGTGAGACCTGTTCATGGGCCGGGCCGGGCTTTTACTGTGTATTAGCAAATTTTTTTAAGGCCCGAGCCCGGCCCGACCATCGGGCCTACAACTTGGGCCCGAGCCCGGCCCTCATAAAAAGCCCGAAGCTCGAGCCTGGGCCTGGGCCTGGGCCCGAAATTTAGCCTATACTATACTATTACTATTATTAATGTTGAAGCGGCTGAATAGAGAGAGAGATTGAAATTATAAAGAAAAGAATAAAAAAATATATATATATATATATATATTAAATTATAAATATATATTTTATAAAATATATAATACTGGCTCGGGCCAGGCTTTTTTGACAAATCCCGAGCCCAGCCTGAAACACAATCGGGCTTACTGTGTTAGGCTTGAGGTCAGGCCCGCGGGCCTAATTATATGACCAAGCCCGGGCCGTGCCGTCGGGCTACCTGGCCCATAATGTGACACAGAACCAGAAGATCTTGGGACTTGGGAGTCACCATCCATTGGGTCACACCAAGACCAAGATATCATACAAGTGTTTTTCTTATTCTAATCAAATCACCAGACCGTACAGTTCTTGTTGGTTTTTTGGCAGACTCAAACATAATAAATGACCAAAACTTATAATTGTTATTACGAGTTTATATTAATCGTTTACTTGTTTAATGATCTAGTGCTCCTTAGTAGTGTGTGCTAATCCTAATTATGTGGTTTGTGACATAGTGGCATTGAGGCAAAACAACCCAACTCTGCTATCCGAAAGTGTGCCAGAGTGCAGCTTATAAAGAATGGAAAGAAAATTGCAGCATTTGTTCCCAATGATGGTTGCTTGAACTTCATTGAAGAAAATGTGAGTTTGAACTAAGAACAAGACATTATCCATTTTCGCATTCAATGTTTGTAGACAAGTTGCTTAGCTGAGCCATTGGGCTTGTTTTTTCCAGGATGAAGTTTTGATTGCTGGGTTCGGTCGTAAGGGTCATGCAGTTGGAGATATTCCCGGTGTTAGATTCAAGGTGGTTAAGGTTTCTGGTGTTTCCCTGCTTGCTCTTTTCAAGGAGAAGAAAGAAAAACCGCGTTCTTAAATATTTAGTAGTTAGACATGAATTGAGGTATTATAACTTATTTGTTTTATTATTTGTGATTACAGATGCATTTAGACTCCTTGTAGTTCATTACATTCCATTAGTAAATTGGGATGCATATAATCTTTGAAATCACTATTGATTATTAAGCTACCTATTTTAATTTTCTCGTGAGATGTTGAATTGATTTACGCATCACCATTGGAGGTGCTTCAGTCTTAAAGAGAGAGAAACAGGAGGGGTTTGGATATTATATTGTCAGGAGATTCAAAAGCACTATAGCAGGTAGGTAGGAATTTGGTATTAGGATTAGCTGAACCAAAGATAAACCCATTCTAGTTATACATGGAGTCGACAGTGAGAAGTTAAATAGTTGCAAGTCCCATATATTTTATTACTGGCGTGGAGCACTATCATTGGTTCCACAGTAGAATTGATATTGCAAAGGAGTTGGGAGTTTTAACTTCTAATTTTAGGCACCAAGCACCATAAACGACATGTCGGATGTGAGCCCAAGACCATAAGCTTTCCAGTGACAACATAAATGATCCCGCGCGGGGATAGTCCGATTAGGATTCTAATTCTATGCATAATTCCTGTTCTTAAAATGCTAGAGGATGCTAGGATCAGCATTGAATGGGGATGCGCATGCGATTGGATTTCAGGAGGTCGACAACATTGAATAGTGGATGGTGAGAGCTTGTGTTGTAGGCTTTTATATAGCTGATGATGAACTGTGAGAGAAAACGGGGTCAGAACTGGACTTTTTCTCAAATGGATGTACCTGAAATGCCTTAAAAGTCCAATTGTCCAATAAAAAAAAAATAAGATTTAAGAAACCAAAAATCCATAAGAATCTATGGGGGATAGTTGGGTCATGCAAAACTTTAAATATTACATGTTACAGATGCTCAGCAGTTTAATAAAATATTTTGTATAGTGATACGAGGATCAACTTTAGGTTTCCCTTATTATTCTTAGGAGAGGAATGATTTATATCTCCCTCAGCTTTCCCATTTGAATGACCTGTTTCTTAGTCGGTGTCCCATGGAACAGCTTATACATATTCTGGTGTGTTGCATGCTAGTAATATGCCATTGAATACCCATTCACCCTGCCCCCAAGACAGGTATTTTTTGTTCTGTATTTCTATAACCATTTGTTCTACATCTACATGTTAATCCATGTGTAATAATGACTCACTGGTCAGAAAACATATTTTTAAATAGCATAATAGGGCAGTGTCATTGAATATAAATACAACTCAAATATAAGTTTCATGTTGACGATTTGACATAAAATGACATTGTCTCTAAACGCTTGAACTACCTGAGTAGATATGAAACAATCCGGCGTGGGGGTTATCATTGCTGTATCAAACTGGAGCAGCATCACTTGAGTCCTGCCCCTGCACCACTAAAATATTTGTAATGCTACTATCGAAAAATGCCTGTTCGAGTTATTTTGCGCATTCGCAAACTAAAATCTTACAAAATTAAGTCCGAAGCCATCGTTTAAAATTGGACAGCAAGGTCCCGACGGAACATGGAAACGTTAAACAACTCGGAACAATTGGATGCCGATACAGATTGTCTCTGAGTGAAAAAAGCTACGACCAGCTCAGAAGGTTCCCGGCCTTTTATGTGTCAATAGTTTTATACCAGCAGTAGCAATAGGCAATGTTCCTTTCTTTTCTTCTTTTTTTTTGTTACAAATGGGGTCACGCAGTGTAGGCATTTGAAGAACTCTTTCTAATGGTTAAAAAACAAAGTTTTAGGTGGCTTTTACAGAAAGAAAAAAGAAAAAGATAGAAACTCCCAATACCAACTAATCTCTGTATATAAAGTGGCCCATGTTCAATATCCAATATCATGGAGCTTGCAGAGATCCTTCTTTGGGAGTAACGAAAAGAGAAAGCACAGTATTTGCCTCTTTGGCATATCTCCCCTCCCATCATTATCATTAAAACGCACACCCCTCCAATACATATCCGTCTTGGGAGTTGGGAAGATAGACATGATACATTATTAAGTGGATGAAAATGGAACAGATCCCAAAACAGTTTTTATTTTCTTATATCTGAAATTAGTGGAGGCGTGGAGCCTGGGGAATAAACTTGATGTAGAGGGAGCTTGCATATGTGATCCATCACAAGCGTATTGGGCACGAGCGATTGAAGGAATCCCCTATATGGTGTTGACAATCGGTGCAATTTCAGTTGTATGGTTGCATCCAGAAGAAAAGTGGGCCATTGATCTGCAGCCCCAGATCAGGAACGCCTCCTCGCCTAGCAATTCTAGTAGAAAATGGTAGATTTTCTTTCCCGCAGAATTAAGTTGTGAAGACATACACTGTTACACCATACTTCATTCATCCCTTACCTTGTCTCTAATTATACTAATCATACAAAAAGTTTTCCCCATTTCAATAACTCTTTGAACACTACTTATTTTTTAAGCCTTGGAGGTGGAGGTGCTCTAGAGAGGCTGCAAAAATTTCCTTTCTCTTGTTCCTAGGCAATCATGGGACACCCCGTTACACAATAAAGTGGAAGAGAAGGAATATCTTTACCTCCTGTCTTTATGAAAAGAGAAGCACCCTTACTTTTGAATTCAAAACTCGGTGGCAACTGATTTATTAATAAGCCATCCCTTCCTTCCCAATGTCATTGTTTCTTATTGCCTTTTATCCTAACTCAAGGAACCGGAGAACCCCGATACCAAACCAAGCAGCCGTGCCTTCACACTGCCCTGAAAGGCTGAAACGAAGAAACTGAGCTGAAAATGTCGCTCTCTCAGTCTCAGCCTGCGGTTGTTTACCCAACAACTGTCTCACCACACCCTCCTTCACATTCCCGGGGCTCTTTTGGGACAGTTTTCATTGTCTTGGCCGTGATAATAGTTATCTCAACCATTGCTTGCTTCCTTGGCCGGCTCTGCAACAGCCATTTCTCCAGCAAAAAACCCAGAAGAGACCGCAAATTCCACCCCAAAGAGCGAGACCTGGAATGTGGATTCAATAAGGGTATGCCAACAGCAAAACCAACTCGCCATGGAGACCAGGGCGGCAACGGAGAATTCAAAGAATTTAAACCTGCAGACAGCTTTGAAACCAAGGGAGAGACAAAACCAGCTGAAAATGGAGATGCTAAAGCAACTGCATGATGAGTAAAAAATAAGTTTCTTCATGTACAACACAATATCCTCTACTTTTCCAGCAAAAGCTTTCTGTTCTTAATTTTCTGCTTTTTTGAAAATCTGACCGTCATTTCCACATGTAATATTGTCTACATGATGCTACGCAAAAATTCAAGTGCTCTCTAGACACTGGTCAATCGTCAACAGGGTCCTGTGGTGCCTGATCTGCCTTGCGTTTGATTGTGATGACAGGGCACTCTGCATGTTTCGCACAAAATTCGCTCACTGTCCCAACAAACACCCTGCAAGAAGGTTAACCATAACCATAACAGTTTGTTAGATGTTCCGAGATATTCCTATCAAGTTGATTGGGCAATGGCTAATTCAAAAATAGCAATTTCTGTAGCAAGCCGTAGAATAAGAACTTTCACCAACAAGCAAGATAATGAAAAAACCAACATGGAGCTAGTAAAAATAGGAAGAGGACAAACTATAACTTTTTCCTTCAAACTTTCAACCGTATATGTGATAAATAGATGTCATGAGTTGGAACAGGGCAAACAGAGTAGGCACAATGAATGTTTTCAACTCAAGTGCTAGACATACTTTTGGAAAGGCCCAAGCCCACGACTTCCCACAACTAAAAAATCTGGGTGAACCCTTGTCACCTCATGGCAGATCACTTCCTTGGGATCACCTTTCTTTAACCATGCTTCACAAGAAACCTATAAACATAAGCCAGACAAATAACTTAAACTAGCAGCCAATTCATCAATACTATTCTACCTGATGAAGGGAAATTTGGCCCAACCTCGCGATCGCCCGACACGTGGCAAAGGCAAGCAGCTCGGGACTGTAGAGCACCCAAAGCGAACATCGGAAGCAAGTCCAAGCTCACTACCGAGCCTGAACTCCAGACCGCTGTACTTAGTCTGAGCTCCTTGTTAAGAGCGAGCTCCCTGTTAAGGGTCCGAGCTCCCTAAAATCCGAGCTCCCTACTAGGAGCCCGAGCTTCCTGTTAAGAGCGAGCTCCCTGTTAAGGGTCCGAGCTCCCTAAGTAAGAACCCGAGCTCCCTAAGTCCGAGCCCCCTACTAGGAGCCCGAGCTCCCAGTTAAGAGCGAGCTCCCTGTTAAGGGTCCGAGCTCCCTAAGTAAGAACCCGAGCTCCCTAAGTCCGAGCCCCCTACTAGGAGCCCGAGCACCCTGTTAAGAGCAAACTCCCTGTTAAGGGTCTGAGCTCCCTAAGTAAGAACCGGAGCTCCCTAAAGTCCGAGCTCCCTATTAAGAGCAAGCTCCCTACTGGGAGTCCGAGCTCCCTATTAAGAGCGAGCTCCCTGTTAAGGGTCCGAGCTCCCTATTAAGAGCAAGCTCCCTACTGGGAGTCCGAGCTC